CAGAGTTAATTAAGGCTGCTGTCTGTGAAAGTGGGTGAAGGGTTCGGGGTGGCAGATGGCAAGCCATGCTCAGGAGCAGCACCATTGGTGGGTGGCTAAGAGGGAGCTCTTTGCTTTAAAGTTTCTCAGAGGTCCATGGCCTGGAGCCTGTCAGCTTGTGCCCAGAGGGGCTGAGAAAGCACAAAGCCACATCCTGTGCAGTGCCTCCTGCTCTATGGTGGGCTCACTGCACCCAAATGAGGGTTACATCTGTCAAGAATGTCTTTTATGACTTTTTTCTTTTGCCAATACTAGTATTTGAACTCAGAGTCTTGGAATCGGAGACATGCCTCGGTTGGTTGAGCACCATCCAGTGAGCAAAAACATCAAATACCAAGTTTAAGTACTGGTCTCGAACCTAAAAACAACTCAGAGCCTCACCCTGTCACTGAGCTTTCTTCAGCTCACAGCTAGCTCTCTACTGTGTGATCCATGCTACCACTTCCTGATGACTTATTTTCACTGAGCTATTGTTCCAGTCTGCATGTGTGAGGTGGTCAGGGGTCCTGTGCAGAGGATGAACTCGCAGAAAAGCCAGCTTTCCACACACACTGGGAACCCTGCCTGGGGTAGTAGTTTCTGTGGTCAGATAAGGTTGCCCTGGCCACGGCTTGTGGAGCCCTTGGTCCCCAGAGCGCTGGTCTGTGAAGGTGACCATGCAGTGCAGGAGTCAGGGCACTACTTCATCAGGAAAATCCTGCATTGTGATATGAGGCTGGCTGACGGAGCCAGGTATAATTACAGGTTCTGGCACAAGGTTCTTGTTGCAGGCTGTGGTTAGACAGGGACACATGTGACTCCTGTCTACATGTAGTCTGTAGTTGATTGTGCCTCCTGTTTGCTACCCGCCCTAATGTGAGGTATGTACAGTGAGATCAGAGACCACATCCAGATTGACAAGTGTGATGGTTGGGTTGTCTGTTGGTACAGAAGGCACTTGCCCACTCAGAGCACCCATTGCCCTTTTGCAGGTAGACAACGCTTACTGGCTGTGGACATTCCAAGGACGCTTACTGCAGAAGAATAACAAGGACCGCTTCTGCCAGCTGCTCTGGAGACCACGGCCCCCATCACTTCTCAGCCAGGAGCAGATAAAGGTTGGCAGCCTGGCCACACATAGGCATGTAGGAAAGCAGAGTGCCCATTGAGGGAGCTGGGGGACCAAATGGAAAGGTCGGTCTAAAGTGTGGAGGTGGCCTCCACCAGCCTGCAGGAGGTCCACACATGGCGCCAGACAGTAAGGAAGTTTCCTAGTGGGGATTCACAGAGCTGGGGAGGAGGGGAGGTGGTGTTGAGAGCAGTGGGGTAGGCAGGGAGTGGGGGGTCTGGCAGTGAGGGCAGAGCAAGGCCCAGCAAAGGTGTGCATGCCCAGGCTGTGGGGTCACCTCATCTGCAGCTGAAGGTGCTTGCACGCTGTGCAGTACTGAGTCAGCCTTTGTTTCAGCAAATAAAGAAGGATCTGAAGAAATACTCAAAGATCTTTGAGCAAAAGGATCGTCTGAGCCAGTCCAAAGCTTCAAAGGTGAGCCTCTGTCTACCCTGGCCCTGACGGGAGGGCACCCTGTACTGGGTAGGTCTAGAGGAGGTCTGTGTACCATGGCATTTCTTCTAGAGGTGGGAGGACTACTCTACTACTTAAACCATCACCCTTTTTGGTTTTAAAATAGCATTTGATATATATGTTTATGCTTATCCTATTTATGTTTCCCTCATAGCTAGTATGATAGGTACACACCACCACATTTATTTTTTTTGTTTTTCTTGATAGTGGGCCTTGAACTCTGGGCCTAGGCACTGTCCCTGAGCTCTTTTGCCTTCTACCTCTAGGTAGCACACAACACTACTTCTGGTGTTCTGGCAGTTAATTGGAGATAAGAGACTCAGATCTCAGATCTGAGACAGATCTCAGCCTCCAGTTGCTAGGATTATAGGCATGAGCTACCAGTGCTCAGTGCACACTTGGTTTTTATGAGTTAAGATGGGTTCTTGTGAACTTTTTTCGCCCAGGCTGGCTTAAACAATGATTCTTCCAGTCTCCGCCTCCTGCAAGAATTACAGGCATGAGCCACCTTGCCTGGCTCATAGGATCCCTCTATTATATTTATTATTTTTGTCAGTCATGGGGCTTGAACCCTGGGCCTGGGTGCTCTTCAGCTCAAGGTGAGCACTCTACCATTTGAGCTACAGGACCACTTCTGGTTTTCTGGTGTTAATTGGAGATAAGAGTCTCATGGACTTTCCTGTCTGGGCTGGTTTTGAACCACAGTCCTCATATCTCAACCTCCAGAGTAGCTAGGATTACAGGCATGAGCCACTGGCACCCTGCAGGGTCCCTACTGATGGGAGAATGTTTCTTCTTGGTTAAGTAGACATAACCTGAATGGAGTGGGTTCCATGTTGATTATGTAACTGACCCCCAACTTTGCCTGTAGGAACTGGTGGAAAGAAGACGAACCATGATGGAGGATTTCCGGAAATACCGGAAAAGGGCCCAAGAACTCTACATGGAACAGAAAAATGAGCGTCTGGAACTGCGAGGAGGTAAGTGGAAGGTTCTGGAATTGTTTAGAGATGAGGAATCTCCCTGCCCTATGGGTGGGCCAGGCCTGATGAGTGCAGTGCCCAGGGTTAGCCTTTCCTTTGTCCTCAGGGGTGGACACTGACGAGCTGGACAGCAACGTGGATGACTGGGAGGAGGAGACCATAGAGTTCTTTGTCACCGAGGAGGTCATTCCTCTTGGGAGCCAGGAATGAGCAAGCACTGTGGTGAGATCTTCTTGGGAAAGGAAGGGCTCCTTGCTGTCTCTGACCAGGCCATTGGGTTCACAGGAACATGTGGATCACGGGGTCCCCTCATAGCAGTGATGAAGGAAGGGAAGGGCTTATGTCCTGGGCCTGTGGGAGGTCCTCTGCAGGAATCCCTCCATGGGAAGCACCACACATCCCTTGTGAACTGAAGCAGATCTTTCTTCCAGCCCTGTCCGTGTAGCAGTTGTGTGCCTGCTCATGGGCTAGGTTAGCAGTGGCTCCTGTTGTTGCCCCTAGCATGTGGGAGGACACAGCACTGACCTGTGGTTCCTTTGCAGTGTCGCTATGCTCCACCCTGGAACCGAGGCCGTCCTGTACAGAAAGTGGCAGGGCCCCTGGACCTCACCCGTGTGTGCTCTGGATGTGGGCACCCCTGGGCTCTTCCACCCCGACACAGCCTTGTGCCTTTAAAGCCCTGGTGTCCACAGTGGGGTTCAGTACTGCTTTCACATTTTCTGTTTGGATTTCTTCGACCACCACGTTCACTGTATGGACTCTGCAGTGCCCTGCTGACTCCTTTCACTCCTGCTGCCAGGGACGTGGCCAGGGCTTTGTCCAGCTCAGCGTCTCTTCCACCTGCTGTCCCCTGCACCGGCCAGTGCCTGGTTCTGGAGAGCAGATACCTGCCCCGGACATGCCTCGGCCAGCCAGGTGTGGCTGGTTCTCTTTGCAGGTGAACATGCAAATAAAAACAAACCTGTATGAAAAACCTGTCTTTCTCCTCTCTTTACACGGAGATAGCGGCCTTGCCTCAGGTGCCTGCCCCCTCAGCAGTAAGGTCATTCACACCAGCCTGCTGCCTATAGCCTGCCTCTGGCTCTCCTGCCTCTCCAGCCACAAGTTAGGCCAGTGGGTCCCCACCAGTTTCTCATTTATTTTCCTTGAAAAGACTTGCAGTTCAGCTCAGTGGACCTCTGTCGTTAGCACTTCTGTGGAGAAGAGTGGCAGCCGTGCAATTGCACCTGGGTTTTCCTGTAGTCTCCTGCTTTCTACCCAGCCTTGTGGAGCTCAGTTGGAAATGGGGGATCTGCAGCCAGGGGCCCGGGAGAGGAGTACTGGCCTCTGGGATGCCACAGAGTCCTTGTCCACAGCACTGTGCTTGCCCTCCAGCATGATCCTTGGATCCAAGGGTTTCTTGAGACACCTGGTAGAACTGACTTGTCTTCTGCTCACCCCCACCCCTCAACCCAGAGCTTCAGGATTTATTCCCGTTCTTTCAACTACACAGTGTTCTCATTTTATGGCTGAGAAGGAAAGGGCAGACTTTTAGCACATTTAACGGGTTTTAAACTTTCAAACTTGCCACTGTTTGAAGCATCATTGTAATTGGTTTACATGATTTGTAAATAAAAGGATTTTGGAAACCTTTGGTGCTTGCTGTCTTACGCTGTGGACCTGGGCCAGGGCCTCATCTGCTCTGGGTGGTCAAGCACTGATACCTGCACACAAGTTTCTGGGCTCTTGGGGGATGCCCATGGAAGAATCATGAGGGTGTCTGAGGGTGACCTTCCTTTCTCACTGGTGGGATTGCAGCCTCCTGACACCAAGAAAGAGGCTGGGAGTAGCTTTGCCAGGAGGCAGCCAGGTGCTTGGTCTGAGGAGGCATGGTATCAGAGGGGGTCAACTCCAGAGAACCTTATCTGTCCAGGAGAAAGGAGTGCAGCATTTAGGCAGTAAACTCATCTTGCCCACCTTGATCAGGTAGGCTTGGTGCACTGAATACCCTAGCTCCTCAGGAACTTGAAAGTCATCTGCAAATTGTGTTTATAGCTGCCATTGCTTCAACCTCAGCCTATCCCCTCAGATAGCAAAGCCCCAGAGTCTGCCCTGACAGCCCAGGTGGAACCCAGGGTGGGCTGTGGGGAGGGGCCTCCATTGAAGAGCTGGTAAAGGGCAGGTGTTGAGCAGGATGGCTGTGGTATTAGGTGCACGCTCTATCAAGGGTTCCTGGGCCCTATGGCTCATGTCTCAAGGACATAGAATTGGGGCTGCCCTTCGTGGCCCTGCTCCAAACGGCAGGCTCTGTGGCCCCAGTGAGGATTGGCCCAGCCCCATCCTCGGGGACTCAGCTGACGTCACCGGGGCGGGGCGGGGCTGAGATGTCTCTGCGTCTCGAACCTAACGGGCAGCTGGGGCCAGGCCTGACCAGCAGGATGCCCTCACATCAGGCTGCTGGCCTCTCCCCAGCCAGGGGCAGCCCCACCCTAAGAGCAATGGAGCCCAAGGACCAGCAGCTCATGGTGAGTCCCTCCTGCCTGTTCCTCTGCTAATTTCTTACTGTGGAGGCCTGGGCCCTCCCTGCTTCTACCTTGCCCAGCCTCCAAACCCAGCGCCCTCACATCAACTCTCAGCCCCATAATGAGACTATGTTCCCACTCCGCTCTCCCATGTCCCGCTCCCCACATACCCACTCCCCCACCTCCCGCCTTCTGAATGTTCCTCTCCAGGAACTTAGCACCTGGGACAACACGGGGGTGGGGGTGTATCCTTAGCCCCTACCAAGCCTTATGTCCAGTCCCAACCCAGAGCCTAATGCCCCCCTTAGGAAAAAGAAGCTTGGCAGAGAGCATAGCACAGAGGCGTAGGATTCTTCTTGGGAAACCCTTTAAAAGTGCTCGTGACTTTCCTGGTGGCCTTGGGCAGATTACTTGACCTCTCTGTTCAGTGATTATATTCCTGAAAGGGTTGCTGTTGCTGAGAGGTATCAATACCACACGCGTGTTCTTTGAGAGCAGAGCACAGGTACACTCAGGGCTGGGCCCTTCCTGCTGCCTAAGAGCTCAAGGCCACCAGAGAGGGAGAGACAGTGTGGGCTGACGGTCTTGGTATTGGGGTTGAAAGAGGGAGTGGGCTCAGAGAGACCCCTGCGGACATGCTGCTCCTGTCCCTCCACAGGTGGCACTTCGGATCCGCCCACTCAACAGTGCAGAACTAGAAGAAGGGGCCACCGTCATTGCCCACAAAGTGGGGGACCAGGTGAGTCTGGATGGTCTGTGGTGGTCATCCAGCTCCCCTTGCTGTCTGCCCTGTATCTGTGTCACTCAGTCATTCGGCCAATGCTGCCACACAGCTGGGATCCAATCCAGTGCAGGGCTGAGCCACCCCTGTTGCCCTTAAATGCAGAGCGCTGGGGGTCCCTAGACGCCACCCTCATCACAAGTACCCAGTGAGAGCCTAGGGCGGGGCCAGGAGCAGGCCCGACCCCAGCGGGCGGAGGGTAGGGGGCTCAGTGGGAAGGGTCAGCACAGATGTGCACTGGAGGCCCAGGGGCTGTGGCAAGATAGGGCACCATTGGCTGCAATCCCCAGGGAGCCTCCTCAGAGACAGCATGGAGCCCGTTGGGGAAGCCGTTGCCCTTGGATGTATGTGCCAGGCTGATTGCCAGGTTTGGGGGAAGGTGCTGACAGTAGGGGATGTGAAATGGGGCTCAAGGACCCGCAAACCAGGATGTAGGCAGAGGGCAGAGAACCTCTAGGGATGGGCACAGCTGGCCAGGAGGTCCCAGGCAACCAAGTTGAGGCGAGCAGAAAGTTTGCGGGGAGACTGTCTGTGCTGTGATGAGAGCTCACAGGTCAGCCTGGAGACACTGAGTAGTGTCTGCCCTTAAGAGAGTGGTGCTACTGTTACCTGACCAACCATGAACATGATATGACCAGTGAGCCTCATCTGCACTGGAGATAAGCATCTCATGGGCTTTCCTGCGTAGGCTGGCTTTCAACCTCAATCCTCAGATCTCAGCTTCCTGAGAAGCTAGGATTACAGACCTGAGCCACCAGCACTGAGTTTCAAAGCTGGGAGACTCTTCAATTAACCACCAAAAAAACTGGAAGAAGGGCTGTGGTTCAAGTGGTTGAAGTGGTTGAATGCCAGTCTTGTGAAAAAAAGCAGAGAGATAGTGCCTAGGAACTAAGGGCTGAGTTAAACCCGAGGACTGACACCAAAAAAAAAAAGGGTGGGGAGAGGGATAGGACTATGGTCTATGGTTCAAGTGATAGAGTACTTGATTAGCAAATATGAGACCAGCAAAACCAATAAAAAGACAGGGAACTCTCCGCTCTCCCTCCCCTGGTCATGGGGCTTGAACTCTGGGCCTGGGCACTGTCCCTCAGCTCTTCAGCTCAAGGCTAGTGCTCTACTACTTAGGCCACAGCATCACTTCCAGTTTTCTGGTGGTTTATTGGAGATAAGAGTCTCATGGACTTTCCTGCCTGGGATGGCTTTGAACCATGATCCTCAGATCTCAGCCTCCTGAGTAGCTAGGATTACAGGCGTGAACCACCAGTGCCCAGCTTGGACTTTTACATAATGAAAGCAAACCAGGAAGTTCATATGAACCCAATATTATCTACAGATAACATTCAGATTTTCCTTTTTGTCCTCTTAATACTGTTCTTTATAATTACACAAAATAAGCCTGCAATCCTAGCTAGCCACTAAGGAGATCTGAGGATTGCAGTTCAAAGCCAGCCTGGGCAATATAAAGTCCATGAGACTCTTATTTCCAATTAATCACCAGAAAACTGAAAGTAGTGGCTCAAAGTGGTAGAGTGCTAGCCTTGAGCAGAAGAGTCCAGGAACAGTGCTCAGGCCCTGAATTCAAGTCCCATGGCCAACAAATAAATAAATTGCAATTATACAAAATACCTTTTTGATCTAAGAACCAAAAGCAGCTCTGGGCTGTGCACAAGGCCTTGTTCATCTGTCCTGCCCCTTGGTGGATGGGTTCTATGATTATGGCTGTTTTACAAATAGAAAAACTGAGGGAGGCTGGGTGCCTCTGGCTCACGTCTGTACTCCTAGTTACTGCAAAGCAGTTTTGGCAGACAAAGCCAGAAGACTCCTACCTCTAATGAACCAGCAAAAAAGCTGGGCTGGAGGCCAGCATAAGATCTAGAGACTTAAGATCACCCAATACCTCCTAGCCAGCAAGCAGTGGCCACTGAACAGGTTTAGAGCCCATTTCTGCAAGTCCCCTCCTAGCCCTGCTGGTTGGAAGGCTCCTGGTGGAAAACCCATCAAGTCTTCCTGTGGCCCATAGCGTGTGTGTGTGTGTGTGTGTGTGTGTGCGCGCGCGCGCACACACACACACGTGCATGTGTGCGTGTGTGTACATTCATCTCTGTCCCACACACTGTCCCATGCCCCTCCCTCTTCCTTCCCAGAAGGTGAAGGAAAAGCAGAGTGGAGTTAGATCATGTCATGGAACATGAGTACTGGCTGACAGCCAGGAGCGGCCCTGAGGACCCTCGTTATCACTGACTCACCAAACACCCAGAGACCTGGCCTCCTGGGACCTGGGGGGTGGGGATGGGGTGGTGGATCAGGCAGTAGGCTGAAGCTGGGGCTTTGTACCCTTCAACTCCATGATTCCACTCAAGTGCTCCAGCCCTCCTGATCCCCACCAGCCATGGCATGTGTGGTTTCCAGTGAATCTGTCTTCCCTCTCAGACCCCTAATTCCCAGGGAAGGGCTATCCCCAAGGAGTCTAATATACTTGGCTTCATAATAACGTATTTATATAAGAGTGAACTGGTCCCAGGGGCAAGCCGGCTCTTGGAGAAACAAAGGCGTGGATGGAGTTTGGGATGCTCTTTGTTCTCCCTGCCCTGCCCCCCACCCCTCCACCCCATGGCTATGCAGCCCCCTGAGCCAGAGGCAAGAGAAAGACTCAGGGCCAGCCGAGTAGACACAGCAACAGGCAGCCAGCCCAGCACTCTACATTTTACAAGGTCTACCCCTAGTGAGTTACTGATTCTCCAATTGTGCTAAGTTGAGACTATTTGTTCGAGAGCTGCCAAGCCAAGCCAGGTGCTGGTGGCTCACACCTGTCATCTCAGCTTCTCAGGTGGCTGAGAGCTAAGGATCATGGTTTGAAGCCAGCCTGGGCAGAAAAGCCCATAAGACTCTCATCTCCAATTAACCACCAGAAAGGCGGAAGTAAGCTATGTGGTTCGAGTTGTTAGAGCAGTAGCCTTGAGCAGAGAAGTTCAGGAACAGTGCCCAGGCTCTGAATTTAAGCCCTCATGGCTGACACCCACCTCCCTCCCAAAGAAAAGCCAACCTGGAACAGGCTCTGAGTTGAAGCTCCAGGGCTGGCACCAAAAAGGAAAAAGGAAGAAGAGGGTACAGGTGGGGTAGAGCTCTCAGCCTGCCTAGCTGGGGTCCGGAGGGGCAGGCTTAGCCATGGTCTTTCCCAGGATCTCAGGCCCGTCCTCTGGCCCCTGCTTCTCATTGCTTCCAGGTGGTGGCACTCATGGACCCTGGAGAGGACCCGGAGGACCCCCTGCGCCCACACCGTTCCCGGGAGCGCACCTTCATTTTTGACACTGTTTTCGACCAGCATGCATCCCAGGTGCCTCCCCATGCCCCTCCCCTCTGCCCCCCAACCCCTGCCCCGGGCAAGATCTGAACCCAGGCTTTAGGACTCAGCATCACTGGAAAGCAGAGGTGTTTCCCCAGCCACTGCCTGAGCAGCCCAGCTTTTCTGTCCTAATAACCTTTATGTCCAAGGCCACACAGAGCCCTGAGATGTCTCTCCTTGCCCACCCCTGGGGACCATGAGCTCACTCCCGCTGCTGGGAATGTGTACTTCCATTCACATTCTGGCATTCCCAGATTCCCTGCCCATCCCAGCTTTGTCCCACTCCAAAGGCCAGAGCTTCGTGTCTCAATTTTTGTTTATTATTTATTTGTTGCTTGGTTTATTTTTGTGTGTTTACTGAGGTTTGAACTTTGTACTTGCTAGGCAGCTGTTATACCACTTGAGCCATGCCCCTAGCCCTTCTTGCTTTCGTTATTTTTACATTCGTGGCTCACATTTTGCCTGGACTAGCCGAGACTGTGACCCTGCTACATCTACTTCTTCCCAGCCCCCCCCCACCCCCAGTTGCTGGGATTACAGGTATGAGTCACCACCCCCAGTCCATGATCTCTTTCAGTTCTTGTTTTGTTTTTTGGGGTGTCCAGTCGTGGGCCTGAACTCTGGGCCTGGGCACTGTCCCTCAGCTCTTCAGCTCAAGGCTAGCACTCTACCACTTGAGCCACAGCGCCACTTCCGGCTTTTTTTTCTGCTTATGTGGTGCTGAGGAATCGAACCCAGAGCCTCAGGCATGCAAGGCAAGGGCTCTACCACTGAGCCACCTTCCCAGCCCCTCTCTTTCAGTTCTCTGTCGTTATTGCCCATCCTGAGGCTTGAACTCAGGGCCTGGGGCATTGTCTCTGAGCTTTTTTTTTTTTTTTTTTTTTTGCTCATAGCTCTACCACTTGAGCCATAGTTCACTTCTGGCTTTTTCTGAGTAATTTTTTGGAGATAAGAGTCTCATGGACTTTTCTTGCCCAGGCTAGGTTTGAACCAAGATCCTCAAATCTCAGCTACTGAGTAGCTATATTTATAGGCATGAGCCACCAGCTCTTTGCCTCTTCCTGGTCTGGAAGAAGTGTTGAGAATGACTCAGGTGGGTTCAGTCTCCATCTGGCATCAGGCTTGATGGCATCCATTCCTGAAAGCCTTCTCCATGAATCCTCCCCAAACCCAGCCTCTATGGGCATCGTCTCACTGTGAGGCTGGGCAGAGTGTCCAGGATTGTCCAGCGATGCAGCCAGGCTTGGCATCAGGGATTTCAATGCCTAGGCCTTTCCTGACTTCTTGCATGTCCCTGGGCTGTGCAGTTGGACAGCCCACCCACAGATGACACTTCCCATCCAGTCCCAGAAGCCAGTGCACAGCGCCATCCACTTATGTCCTGTCTGTCTGCAGGAGGACGTATACCAGGCCACCATTGGGCACCTGGTGGAGGGGATCATTTCTGGATACAATACCACAGTGTTCGCCTACGGGCCTTCAGGTACTGCCCAGGAGGAAGTGGACTTGGTGATCAACTTCCAATTACCCTCCCCCCTCCTTCTCCTCCTCCTCCTCTTCTTCTTCCTCCTCTTCCTCCTCCTCCTCCTTCTCCTCTTCTTCCTCCTCTTCCTTCTCCTCCCCTTCTTTCTCCTCTTTTCTTCCTCTCTTCCTCCTCTTCATCTTCCTCCTCCTCCTCTTTTTCCTTCTTCCTCCTCCACTTCTTCCTTCTTCCTACATTTTTCTTCTTAAAGGGGCTGGGGTTTGAATTTAAGGCCTCACACTTAACCACTTCAATCATGCCCCTACCCTTTTTTTGCCAGTCCTAGGGCTTGAACTCAGGGCCTGGGCATAGTCCCTGAGCTTTTTTGCTCAAGGCTAGTACTCTAGCCTTTTGAGCCACAGCTCCACTCCCTGTTTTCAGGTGGCTAATTGGAGATAATAGTCTCATGGACTTTCCTTATCTAGGCTGGCTTTGAACCATAGTCCTCTTAGCCTCCTGAGTAGCTGGGATTACAGGCATTAGCCACCAGCCCCTGGCTCTCAGGAACTTTTTCTTTTTCCTTTTCTTTTTCTTTTTTTTTGGGTCAGTTGTGGGGCTTGAACTCTGGGCCTGGGCGCTGTCCCTCAGCTCAAGGTGAGCGTTCTACCACTTGAGCCACAGCATCGCTTCCGGTTTTTCTGGTGGTTAATTGGAGATAAGAGTCTCACCTACTTTCCTTCCGGGGCTGGCTTTGAACCATGATTCTCAGATCTCAGCTCCTGAGTAGCTAGGATTATAGCGTGAGCCACCAGTGCCCAGCTTCTCAGAAACTTTTTGTTCAAGCTGGCCTCAAACTGTGATCCTCCTGAATCTGCCTCCTAAGCAGCTGGGATGACAAGCATGAGCCCCCATACCCATTCTCTTCTCATCCAATACACCTGGGGCTGCCTCAGGAGCCACACCTCCCCACAGGTGCCGGGAAGACATATACGATGCTGGGCATGGATGCTGAGCCCGGCATCTACCTGCAGACCCTCACTGACCTCTTCAAGGCTATCAAGGAGAATCAGGACAACACGGAGTACAGCGTGTCCATGTCTTACCTGGAGGTGAGCCTCCTGGGTACAGGAAGGGCAATGGCACCTAGGTAGAGCCTCTGCCTGAAGCCAGGTAGGCCCCAGTGGTATGCAAGGCCTTGGAGTTCTGCTTTGTTCTAACCTTCCTGCTCAACAACAGATTTATAATGAAGTGATCCGGGACCTGCTGAATCCGTCTTCAGGGTTTCTGGACCTCAGGGAAGATTCGAAAGGCAGCATCCAGATTGCAGGGATTACGGAGGTATCCACCTCCAACGCCCAGGAGGTGAGGGCTTGCAGCTGCACTACATGACTCAAGGTTTTTGTGCCAGCAGTAGGGCTTGAACTCAGGGCCTAGGTGTGTCCCTTAGGTTAGTCATGGAAAGCTGACACTCTATCACCTTAGTCACAGCTCCACTTCTGACTTTACTTTCAGTGCTTAATTGGTGACAAGAGTCTCACAGGCTTTCCTGCCCAGGCTGGCTTTGAACCTTGATCTTCAGATCTCAGCCTCCCAAGTAGCTAGAATTATGGGTGAAGCTCACAACATTTTTGGTTAAGTTTACCGAATGGAGACTCACACAAGCACACCTCCCAGGGTTGTTGCCAGGCCTCTGGTCTTGATGGAAGAGCATGACAAACACACTTACTCTGCCTCTTGGCTGTGGTCAGGGCAGACATCACCCACTGATCCCACACCTACCATGGCCTCTGGTCCTTGTCCATACAATCCTCCTGCTGGTCCCAACCTGCTGCTCCTGAGCCAGCTCAGATCTGAACCTACTTTTCCTGCTCATCCTAACAATGGCTTCCTTACCAGGGTAGACTGCAAACATTTTCACAGCCCTGTCTTCTCCCTAGCTGGCTGTCTGAGTAGCCACTCTTGGGGTAGTCTTCCTGACCACACCCTGTGTTGCTCCCAGAGTTTCTGTGTCCCCTTTTGTCAGACTCCCAGCTATTGACCTCAAGTGAGTATGTGCCTGCCCTGCTGGCACAAGTCCAGTACCCTACAGCCCAGCTGTTTGTGGGGATTTTTTTTTTTTTTTTGCCAGTCCTGGGGCTTGAACTCAGGGCCTGGATTCTGTCTATGAGCTTCTTTTTGCTCAAGGCTGGCACTCCACCACTTGAACCACAGTGCTATTTCCAGCCTTTTCTGTTTATGTGATACTGAGGAATTGAACCCAGGGCTTGCCTCAAATCACAATCTTCCTACTTCTGCCTCCTGAGTAGGTGAGATTACAGGCATACCCTAACATGCTCATATTGCTTGATCATGAATAATGGCAACTGTAGCAACCTTTCTCTCTCTCTCTCTTTTTTTTTTTTTTTTTGTCGGTCATGGGGCTTGAACTCTGGGCCTGGGCGCTGTCCCTCAGCTCTTCAGCTCAAGGCGAGCACTCTACCCCTTGAGCTACAGCGCCAGTTCCGGTTTTCTAGTGGTTTATTGGAGATAGGAGTCTCACGGTCTTTCCTGCCTGGGCTGGCTTTGAACCATGATCCTCAGATCTCAGCCTCCTGAGTAGCTAGGATTACAGGCGTGAGCCACCGGCGCCCGGCTGTAGCAACCTTTCTCTATGCACAGTCTGAAGTCTGGTATGGACTTGGATACAGCAGGTGCGCAGCAGAGGTTTGGTGTCTTGAGTTTGAGTTCCACAAGTTCAAACTGCACATGCTAACTCCAGCTAACTTACAACCGCCCAAGTTCTAAATGAAAAGGGGCCTGGGGCCATTCTGGGTAATCCATTGGTGATGTCTGCCATGAACAGACAAGGGGCGGGGGCAGTGTACAAAGCCCCAAGCTCTGTGGCCACCCCTCCTCCACTTCTTTGGGTACCTCTAGAAGGCCCATGTGGCCACACAGGGACCTGTGACCTCCTGCCTGCTTCTGCCTTTGACCTCAGATCATGCAGCTGCTCACCAAAGGCAACCGGCAACGGACGCAGGAGCCCACTGCCACCAACAAGACATCATCTCGCTCCCACGCCGTGCTGCAGGTTACCGTGCACCAGCGGAGTCGGGCAGCTGACCTGGCTGAGGAAGTGCGGCTGGGGAGGCTGTTCATGGTGGACCTGGCCGGCTCAGAGCGCGCAGCCCAGGTCAGCCCCCACACACTGGGCATCTGTCACCCTCAGCCTGAGCAGGACATTGTCCAGCTGTGATTTTAGCAAAAGGAATAGCATGCAGCCTGGAAGAGGCACTGGCAAAGTTTATTGAGGGAATGAATTCACAGAGCTGGCATTAATGGGGGCTTCTTGTGTTAATGGGGGACTGGCATCAATGGGGGGACTGGAGAGGTGAGACTGAGCCCCACCACACCTGTGTTCACCCTTGGGGAAGGCTAAACCCGAGCATCTGCCTAGGTAGCGTGAAGCTATCGATTCAGACCCCACTTTCACCTCCTGAGTTGGCTGAGATTACAGGCATACCACACCGTACCCAGATTAATTGGTGTTTTTTTGTTTTGTTTTGTTTTTGCTTTTGTTTTGTCAGTTGTGGGGCTTGAACTCAGGGCCTGGGTGCTGTCCCTGAGCTTTTTTGCTCAAGGCTTTGTGCCACAGCTCCAATCCCAGTTTTCTAGTGATTAATGGGAGGTAAGAGTCTCACAGACTTTCTTGCCCAGGCTGACTTTGAGCCTTGATCCTCAGATCTTTGCCTCCTGTGTAGCTAGGATTATAGGTTTGAGCCACCAGCACCCAGCATCTAATTGTTTCTTTTCCTATACACTAGTGTATTAATTATACAGATCAGGGCTTCCATGTGGCATTTCTATACTTTATATAACATACTTTGATCATATTCTCCCTGCACCCCATTTCCTCCCTCCGACCCATGACTGGGTTCCCCAGAGCCTCCCTTCCATGCTCACACCCTTGTTTTTAAATCTAGACTCTTCCTCTGAGAGGAAGTATGCAGTATTTGTTTATTTGTTTGTTGCCAGTCCTGGATCTTGAACTCAGGGCCTAGGCACTGTCTCTGAGCTTCTTTTGCTCAAGGCTAGCATTCTACCACTTGAGCCACAGTGCCACTTACAGCTTTTTCTGTGTATGTGGTACTGAGGAATCGAACCTAGGGCTTCTTGGATGCTAAGCAAGTACTCTACCCCTAAGCCACATTCCCAGGCCAGTATTTGGTTTTTGAGTCATGTTTTTCTGTATGGCCTTTGTGCAGTCCTGCCCAGGGCTCATCTGGGCCTGAGGCTCCCCTCCTTGTGAATGGGGAGGGGAGATGATGGGTGGATCCTCTGTTCAGCCTGGCACAGACTGCTCTCCCTGCACAGACCCAGAACAGAGGCAAAAGGATGAAGGAGGGCGCACACATCAACCGCTCATTGCTGGCTCTGGGCAACTGTATCAACGCGCTCAGTGAGAAGGGCGGCAGCCGTGCTCAATATGTGAACTTCCGTGACAGCAAACTCACACGCCTCCTGAAGGTGAGTGTGGCCCTCTGTGAGGGTGAGGTGAGCCTCAGCAGTTGCTGGCAGCTTCCAGGAGTTACCTGCAGGAAAGAGGCCCAGACTTGAGCCTAAGGGCCCTTCTCAGAACCTCTGAGGGAAGGATACTGCATACACAGTATTCTGGGAACTCCCTGTCTCTCCCTCCATCCCTCTGAATCTTGTTTGAATACCTCCAATGACAGTGAGCTTACTACCTCCCCATCACAGATGGTTCGGATATGATGTATAAAAAAATGCTTTCTTGGGCTCAGTGGTAGAATGCTTGCCTTGCATGCATGAGGCCCTGGGTTCTATTCCTCAGCACCACAGAAGCAGAAAAAGTGGAAGTGGAGCTATGGCTCCAATGATAGAGCACTAGCCTTGAGCTGAAGAGCTGAGTGACAGTGCCCAGGCCCAGAGTTCAAGCCCCAGGGACCAAAAAAAAAAAAATTCTTTCTTGCTAGGTGCTGGTGGCTCATGCCTATAATCCTAGCTACTCAAGAGGCTGAGATCTGAGGATCGTAGTTCAAAGCCAGCCTAGGCATGAAAGTCTGTGAGACTTTTATCTCCAATTAACCACCAGAAAACTGAAAGTGGCTCTGTGGCTCAAGTAGTAGAGCACTTGCCTTGAGTTGAAGAGCTCAGAGACAGTGCCCAGGCCCAGAGTTCAAGCCCCACAACTGACAAAAAATAATCATTTCTTTAATCCCGAGTAGATGCTGTCGCTTGGTCCTATAGCAAGGTAGGATCAAACAAGTCAACAAATCGATGCTCCAAGTCCAGCCCCTGGTGGCATCTGCTTGGTCAGCAGCAGGCAGGCTGGGTGGACCCGAATGGGGCACGGCTTTGTTCCTATGGGTTGTCTCCCCAGGCACCGCCCCCAGCATTCACTGCCCCTCCCAGGCTTTGGTCCAGGCCTGACAGCACTGGGCAGGTGGAGGCCATGTGGCTCCGCCACTCAGCCCTGCTGCTCCCCCGGAACAGGATGCCCTGGGAGGAAACAGCCGAACGGTGATGATTGCGCACATCAGCCCGGCCAGCTCCAGCTTCGAGGAGTCACGGACCACACTGCTCTACGCCTACAGGGCCAAGAACATCAAGACTCGGGTGAGCCTGGCTCACTCCCTTACCCATTTATTCATTTACCCTGTCACTCATTCACATGCTCAGTCACTCATTCATTCATCACTCACTCATTCATTCACCCGCTCATTCATTCATTCAGCCACTTACCCATTCACTACTCACTTATTCATTCATACTCTCATTCATTCATCACTCGTTTATTCATCACTCACTCACTCACTTATTCAGTTACTTGCTTATTCATTCACCCTGTCACTCATTCACATGCTCAGTCACTCATTCATTCATCACTCACTTATTCATTCACCTGCTCATTCATTCAGCCACTTACCCATTCATTACTCACTTATTCATTCACTTATCCATTTATTCACTTGCTTATTCATTTATTCACTCATTCGCTTATTCATTTATTCACTTTTTCACTCATTTACTCACACATTCATTCATTAATTCAGATGCTCACTCATTCATTCACTGCTCATTCACTGTTTTATTCACTGATTTCTTCCCTTCCCCCTCATTGGCTTACTCAGTTGCCACAGACATGGGTGAGCCCTGCAAAGCTGCTCTTAGCTGGTTACTGGCCTCTGCTCATGTCCATTCATCTGAAGCAGAGAGATGAGATGGAAAGCAGCAGCCCCTGAGGCCCCGCAGTACCGGGGGGGGGGGGTTGGGGGACCAGTGCTGTGGCTGACAGGGAGGGATTGCAAACCTGAGACTTACAACAGTGCAGACTCCTCTCCCACTGGTGGGAGAATGGGGTGTGTGGGCCAGGTTCCTTTCCTTGCATAGGGAAGGACCCTCTGCTTCGGCCCTCAGGAGGCTTAGGTTCTCCTGGCTGGTGGCTGGGTCATGTGGGGCTTGAACTCTGGGCCAGGGTGCTATCCCTCAGCTCTTCAGCTAAGGCAAGTGCTCTACCACTTGAGCCACTTCTGGTTTTCTGGTGGTTAATTGGAGGTAAGAGTTTCACAGACTTTCCTTCCTGGGCTGGCTTTGAACTGTGATCCTCAGATCTCAGCCTTCTGAGTAGCTAGAATTACAGGCATGAGCCACCAGCACCTGGCCTTCTTCTCTTTTTTTGACATTTTTATTTATTTTTATTTTTTATAGGTACTAGGACTTGAACTCAGGGCCACCCTGACACCATCCTTGAGCTTTATCACTCAGGGGTAGGGCTCTACTACTTGAACCACAGCTCCACTTCTGTTTTTTTGGTGATTAATTGTGGATAAGAGTCTCATGGACTTTTCTGCGTGGGTTGGCTTCCTCCAACCTCGATCCTCAGACCTCAGAGTAGCTGGGATTATAGGTGTGACCCATGGGCACCCAGGTTATTTGAAACATTTAAAGTGTATAGTTGGGTGGCATTAGACATGTTGAGGTTTCTCACCTTCCTAAAAGGGGAATGATTCACCCCCTCCACAGCCCTGGCTCTATCTTCTACCTCTGTCCCTGGGAATGGAGGCCCTGGGGACCCCTGTGTAGAATCTCACAGTATTTGTCCTTTTGTGTCTGACCCCTTCCACCGGGCATAACACCCTCCAGGTACTCCCACATTGTAGAATGTGCCAGAATGTCAAGGCCAGCTGAAAGCACTGGCTGAAACTCATCCATAACCACATTCCACGCCCGCCTCCAGTGTGTGCTCAGGGAGCAGGGCTGACTTTGGCTGATCTTGTCCCCGCTTCCAGGTCAAGCGCAACCTTCTGAATGTCTCCTACCGCATTGCACAGTACACAGACGTCATCTCCGACCTGCGCAGGGAGATCGAGCACCTCAAGTCAAAAATTGAGAAGCAGGACAAGGAAAAGAAAAGAGAGCCTGGTGGCCCAGGTGTGCAAGGTAAGGGCTGAGCCAGGATCTGGAGTGTACCCCTGCACACTCCCAGGGCACTGGGGCCAGGACCTCTGTCCTGTGGGACCCTTGTCACTTTTGGCTCAGTCCTGGCACTTGGTCCAGACTGGTCTCGATTTCCTAGACTTAAGTGATCCTGCTGTCTCTGTTTGCTTAGTTGGGACTACAGGAATGCACTACCACATGTGGTTGAGAGTTACTATTCCTTCCCTTGCTTTTTCCCTAGCTGTGAGTCTGGGGTTCTCTGCCTCCACAGTGGCCCCCTCCCTGTTTCTCATAGAATTCCACAGGGGGTGCACCCAGCCTGCGCATCCCACCTGGGTAGGCTTCCCAGAGCACTCGGGCATCTATTCTCTCTCTGGTGAATTTAGGATTCTGTTGGAAAAAGAGGGCAAAGGGAGCTCACAGCACAGATGCTCTGGGTGATTACAGGTCAAGTCCCACAGGTCAGTAGAGACTCAGGAGGTAGAGGTTGGGCTCTGCAGGATCACGGTCCTCAGAGAGAGATGCTACTATACTTCTGGGGACTGGCTCTTAGTCATGGGAGCTAGTCTTAATGCTCTATTGTAGCAAGAGGGCCCAACAGGAGTGTCAGCATTTCCCTCCTTAAATTCTGCTGTGCCCTCTGCATCTCCCGAAGTGTTTTCCAGGCTGGCAAGGGCTTCCCGCATTTTTGTTTTGTTTTGTTTTTCTGGTACTAGGATTTGAATTCAGGGCTTCAAGCTTGCTTGCCGGGACCCATTTGCTCAGCTGGTAATCTTTTACTTGTGTTATGCCTCCAGTTTGGCACTTGGCTGGTTAATAAGAGATAGAGTCTCTTGGATTTTTGTGCCAGGGCCAGCCTGGAACTATGATTCTCTAGATCTTAGCCTTCTTAGTAGCTAGGATTACAAGCATGAGCCACCATGCCCAGTTCCCATATCTTGTTGTTGTTGTTTTTGGTTGGTCCTGGGGGCTGAACTCTGGGCCTGAGCACTGTCCCTTAGATCTTCAGTTCAAGGCTAGTGCCCTACCACTTGAGCCACAGTGCCACTTCTGGCTTTTTTTCTACTTATGTGGTGCTGAGGAATTGAACCCAGGGCCTCACACATGCGAGATAAGCACTCTACCACTGAGCCACCTTCCCAGCCCACCTCACATCCTGTTTTAATGGCTACCACGATTTGCTTGTTAGATCAACTGCAACTGATTTTGCCAATCCAGACTTCCCAGCAAGAAAGTAGCTGGTCATGTGTCTGTCAAGGTCAGGGTAATAGGTGACAAATGTACGTGTCCAGCATGCGGCTCCCTATAGGGACAGGTGTGTAAACCTCTAATCAGGGGCTACAGAAGACTCAGGTGGAAGGCTTGTACAAGGCCCTGGGCTCAATCCTCACCCGCATAAAACAGGAGAATTTAAAGACCATTATTAAATGATGCAGGATTATCAGGTGGGAATTTGCCATGGGAAGGACAGAGACAGATGTGGGCCTGCTCTGTGGGGCTAGGAGCCCAGCGGGAGGGGCAGGTGTGATGCGTCCATTCTGTGTAGATGTTATCTGAGTGCAAACAGCGGAGGACTGGGAAAGAGAGGCCAGGGCCATTCCAAAGCAGGTGACTGGGAGCCAGAGTAGTTTTCCACTCTGGGTTTTCCAGGGTGAGCCCAGCCTCATCACTCTGAGTTTCTGAAACTTAAATATAGATCACCTGACCCAAACCAGACAGAGGATTTAAATACCTCTGAGCCTTTCATCCATTTACCCAGCAGTCCTATCATTCCTTCATCTACCCATCCCTCCACAAACAACCTGCCCTCCATCTAGTCATTCCTCCATCCATCCATCCATCCATCTATCCATCCATCCACCCAATCATCCATCCATCCACCCATCTATCCATCCATTTACACATCCACCCACGCATCTAAAATACATATATCTACCCATCTACCCATCCTTTTATCTATCCACTAATCCATCTATTTTTCAACAATGCATCCATCTATTCACTCATATGTCATTACTCCATCCTTCCATCTACCCACCTATCCATTCATCCATTCATCCATCTATTCATCGCTCCATCCAACCATCCATTTGTCCACTTGTCAATCCATCTATCCATCCATCTGTCCATTCATCTACCCACCCATCCATCCATCTATCCATCTATCTACCTATCCGCTCACCTATCCAATCCATCCATACCCATCTGTGAATCCATCCATCTACCCACCCATCCATTTATCTGTCCATCCACTCATCTACCACCCATGCACATATAGAGGACACTCCTCCATGTGTTAGTAAGAGAACGTGGAGTCCAGCCCTGGGTTGGCTGACCTCACTCCAGTACAGCCAGCCCCTTCCTGCTCCCAGTCACTGTCACCCCGCATGACGCCGAGGAGGAGAGCCGGCTGCAGGTGGACAAGATCCGGGCGCAGCTCATTGGGGCATTCAGAGAGCAAATGGAGATGCGGCGTAGCCTGGTGGAGCTGGAGAACACCAACATTGAGCTGCACGTGGACATGTCCCGCCACCTGCTGACCCTCGCTGAGTGAGTGCCTGCCTGAGTCCCCCATCCACAGCCCCCCATGCCTGCTTGCCACACCCACAGTGCCCCCAGACTCCACCCTGGGCAGCATCTTTGGTTACTTCTCTCTGCAATAAGGACCTAATCCTGGGCAGGACTCCTGTCCCTGTTCCTCTCCTGCTCCTGGGCCCATACCCCGCGTCTTTCACAGGCCTGGGACCCAGCATGAGCCCTGGTGTTTCACCAAGAACCAAGACCATTTACAGAACAGGCTGCTGAGGGTCAGAGGTTTTTGGGTTTGTGTGTGTGTGTGTTTTCCTGGCCATATGGGGTTTGAACTCAAGGCTTCATACTTACTAGACAGGTACTCTACTGCTGAGTCACGCCTCTACCTGCCCAGTGTTGAAGCTCAGAAATATGGATTGGCTTGTGCTGTGTATCTCCACAGTGCTATCATTGTACACTTAGTCCCCATCCATCCCTAGGGGGTCTATGTGCAGAGACTGAGTGTGATGCCCAGCACCAACATGAGGACACTTAGGGCTGGAAGGGCATGGTTGCCTCATACTTGCTACATGGGCACTCTCCTACACTTGAATCAGACCCCAAGTCCTCTTGGGTTTTTTTAATTTAATTTTGCTTTGTTTTGTTTGCCAGTCCTGGGGCTTGAACTCAGGATCTGGGCACTGTCCCTGAGCTGCTTTTGCTCAAGGCTACCACTCTACCACTTGAGCCACAGAGCTACTTCCTGTTTTCTGGTGGTTTATTGGAGATAAGAGTCTCATGGACTTTTCTGCCCAGGCTGGCTTTGAACTATGATCCTCAGATCTCAGCCTCCTGAGTAGCTAGGATTACTGGCGTGAGCCACTGGCACCTGACTCTGCCCTACCCTGCCCTGCCTGCCCTTCCTTCTTTCCTCTCTCTCTCCCTTTTTCTCTTCTTGGCCCCACAAACAGAAGATTTACACTGGAGGAATTCTAAAATGTAAAAGCACCTTCCTGGTGTCTTCCCCTCACTCTGGCCACACCTCAGGCCTGTCTTCAGGCCTCCTTTCCACGTGGTTTCTGCAGAGCTCGCATGGAGACTCAATCTGGGGTCCTTGTCCACAGATCCCATGTCACTGACACCCTGACCGAGCCCCAGGCCCATGGACGGTTGTAACCCCAGCTTTCTAGCAAGGAAACGGTGGTTGGCGGAGCATTCTCTATAGTAGTTTCCAGGGACGGAAGGAAACCTCCTTCGGTGGGCAGCTGTGAGGAGGCCCCCAGGCTCTGATGCCTCTATCGTGGCTGCAGCTGGGAGCGGGAGAAGTCCCAGCAGCAGGCGCACAGGGACAGGGGCGAGCTGGACAAGGATGAGGAGCCGGCGGACGCTGACGCGGACGAGGGGGAGTCGGGGGAGCCGCACGAGGTGGCTCTGGCCAGAGAGGAAGTCAACCTGCTTTTAGCCGAGCAGAGGAAAACCGCAGCCTTGAAGGTGAGCATTCACCCAGGGGCGAGGGGACTTAACTGCAGGAAGCCACCTCCCAGTGTCCCCAAGCCCCAGAGGGCAGGAGGTGCTGAGCTAGGACTGGAGGAGGCCCTTTGTTAGTGTTGTGGCTCTGCAAGGGGCCGTGTGCAGTGGCTAGAAAAAATGGGGTACATGGGCTGGGAAGGTGGCTCAGTGGTAGAGCACTTGCCTTGCATGCTCGAGGCCCTGGGTTCGATTCCTCAGCACCACATAAGAAAAAAGCCGGAAGTGGCGCTGTGGCTCAAGTGGTAGAGTGCTAGCCTTGGGCTGAAGAGCTGAGGGATAGCGCCCAGGCCCAGAGTTCAGGCCCCATGACAGGACCCAAAAGAAAAAAAAAAGAAAAAATGGGGTACAGGTGGTCAGGAAATTGCTCAGAGACCCCCCCCCCCATTCCTTTGCAGGAACTTCCCCATCTGCCAGGTGCTTAATGGTTTGCAGAGTTATGCCATGCATCCGTGGGATACTCAGGGCCCCCCTGATTGTGGTCCTGGCAGGGGAATCAGGGGAGCCACACCCAGCTCTGGTTCCGTTACCCTGTGAGCTCCAGCTGCGTAGATGAGCTATTAATAGAACACTTGTTATCTAATCGTCTCACCTCAGAAAACTCACTCACCTGGTATGGGATGGTGTCTTTGGGGACGCTGCCAGGGGAGCCAGGCTCCACTGGAGCACAGTGGTGCAGTGCTGTAGGCATATTTTCAGGAGAAAGACTAGCATGTCTCATTCTGGAAGCGTCTATTTCACTTCAAAGCTATGGAACCAAAGCAAGAACTTAATATGATTACATCTACCCACAGCAATATGGAGGTGATACAATTCCACTTCCAGTGGAAAGGGGGAGGGTGGCAGAGGCTGGTGACTCCCAGCTAGCTACTGGTTGGCTGAGAACAGGAGGATCTCAGTTTGAGGCCCTCACAGATAGGAAACTTCACGAGATCCTTTTTCAACCTGAAGTTGGGCAAAGGGGTCATCCCGACATACGTGGGAGGCTGAAATTAGGAGGGAGGATCAAGGTGCCAGGCTCACTGGGACAGAAAAGTCCATAAGACTGTCTCCAGGGAGAGAAGCTGGAAGCGATGGCAGTGTGCCTGTGCTCCCAGCGAAGACACGAAACCTGATAAAGGGGGGATCGATGCTCAGGCACGTGCCTGGGTGGGAAGTGAAAAACAGGGCTGGAGGTGTGGCTCAGCAGTATCATGCCAGTCCAGCAGGATGACATCTGGGCAAATGGAAAGGGAGAGCATGTGGCCGCACTGAATACATCATGTGTCAATAGAAAAGGTGAAGAGCCTAGAGGCCAGGCTGTGTATCACTTGAATTTGAAAATCAAGCCCACAGTGAGTTTGCCCTTCCAGAAGCTGTCTAAGCCTGGGAGGAGGGGAGCAGCCACTCCAGGATCAGCGAGGCCAGTGTCAAAACATCAGAATGTGTGAGGAATTATACTTGCATTTAAACTCAGGGCCTTGCACTTGCTAGGCAGATGCTCTATGACTGACCCGCACATTCAGACTTTTATGGCTTTATGTTATTTATTATTGTTGTTGTTGTTGTAATTATTGTCAGTGGTAGGGCTTGAACTCTGGGCTTGGTCGCTGTCCCTTAGCTCTTTAGCTCAAGGTTAGTGCTCTACCACTTGAGCCACAGCACCACTTCCAGTTTTCTGGAGGTTAATTGGAGATAAGAGTCTCATGGACTTTCCTTCCTGAGCTGGCTTTGAACCACGATTCTCAGATCTCAGCCTCCTGAGTAGCTAGGATTACAGGCGTGAGCCACTGGCAGCTGGCTTAGCTTTAGGTTACTTTTTCAGACAAGGTCTGGGTGCTGTTTGTCCAGGGCTAGCCTTGCACTAGGATTGTCCTACCTCAAATTCTTGCATAGATGGAATTATAGGTGTATGCCACTCTGCCTGGCACAGAGCATCTAAATTCTGAAAACAGAAGGTGCACTCAGCACTGGGAATGGTATTGGTTCTCAGACCCAATTACCACATGTGAATCCTTTCAGGATTCTGGCAAGTTTGGGAACACCTGAGGGCCGGCTAAGCCCCAGGTCTGTCCTGAGCTCTCTGCTTCCTCCACAGGCCGGGCTGGAGCAGCGCCTGGCCCATGCCAAGCAGAAGGCATCACAGATGGAGCAGCTACTGCCAGAGCAAGTGACCAGCCAGGCCCAGCGAGAGGTCCTCCAGCTGCTGTGCCGGGCCCATGAGCTGGAGGTAGAGAACACAGAGCTGCAGGCTACCAGTCTGTGCCGGAAGAACCTGCTGGGCCAGAAGGACTTTGTGATCCAGCGCTACCACCAGCACCGGCTGCTCTGCCAGCAGCTCATCCAGGGCCAGAGGCAGCTGCTGCGAGGTGAGGATGCTTGGGTGTGGGCTCACCTGTGTGAGGTGAGGTCCAGAAGGAGGAGGCCATGTTTGGATAGGAAGCCCGGGATGGCCTCAGAGGCAAAGCTGGCTCACCAGTCTCCCTTTCCTCCTGGCTGACTCTGCCTGCTCCTGTGTGTAGCTGTGTAGTGGGGGCCCCTCTCTGGTCAGCTCCTGTCAGGTGACTTCGTCTCTGCCTCTCCTTGGGAGCTTTCCTGGAGCATCATATTTGGTCTTGTTTCCTTTGTTGGTAATACTGGGGTTTGAACTCAGGGCCCTGTGCTTGTTAAATAGGTGCTCTGCCACTTGTGCCATGACCTCCGTCCTTCTGTTTTTAGTTTTTCAGAGAGGGCTTTGCCCAGGCCAAGTTAGGAAGAGCCACAGAATGGCTCTTCCTACCTCTGCCTCCCAAATAGCTGGGATTACAGGTGTGAGCCACCATGGTGTGTGTTTCTGTTCAGAAGCAGAGGTAGATGGCCACGAACAGGGACATGGCCCTGCCCCATACTGCTTCCTCTTCCACAGCCATTGTCGGCTCTCAGGCCAGCTTATCTCCACCACCAGGATGCTGTGGGGAGGGAGAAGAATCCATGTCTCATTCATTCATCCATTCATTCTGCAAACCTTCGAAAGCCAGCATTGAACAGGTTGTCAGGGACTGTGTCTGTAGACCCTCTGGCAGGCCCTGTCTCTTGGGGCTGGCAGTGTCCATGGGAGAGTAGGGGGGGCGGGTAGACACCAGCAGCTGGTCCCACAGGGTGTGTCATTTCAAAGGGGGCTGACCAGAAAGGAGACAGAGCTGTGAAGACAGCAAGGAGTCACCAGGGAGAGAGGACACGCCTTGGCTTGGTGTGCACGTGGGACATGTGTGAGCATGAAACATTCCAGGGCTTGGAGTATGCAAATGTCATCGCTGTCATTCTGCACGGTTGATACTTAATTTAGGCTGCAGAGAGCTCTTTTGGGGAGGCATCTTGTGACTTTCTTTTCTCTCTCTTTTTGTTGGTTGCTGGGATTTGAACGTGGGGCTTCAAGCTCTCACTTTCTTTTCTTTCTGTGCCTGTCCTGGGGCTTGAACTCAGGGCCTGGACATTGTTCCTGAGTTCTTTTGCTCAAGGCTAGCACTCTACTACTTTGAACCGCAGCTCCAGTTTTTTCCGGTTTTTGAGTGGTTCATTGGAGATAAGAGTCTCATGGGGATTTTTCTGCTTGAACTGAGATCCTTAGATCTCAGCCTCCTGAGTAGCTAGGATGACAGCTGTGACCTGCACCCAGCAGGAAAGCCTCTTTTATTGAGATGAAGTGTGTGCATTCAAACTTCCAACACAAGTATTCTGTTCTTGCGGCATACAGTAGATGTTTTGCCTGGCTGCTCTGACCTCTGTCTGCCTGGTCCCCAGACAGCGGCATCCCGGTGCCGGAGCCCCTGGAGCAGTGCTACCGGCTATACTCCCAGGAGCTGGGCGAGGGCACGCTGGACCGCCTGCTGCTGCTGCATTCGGTGATGGCCAGCTCGCTCCAGGTGAGTCCTACCTGCCCGCCCTGCCGATGTCCACTTGGGCTTAGCTTGCTATCCTGCTCTGATCCCTCGTCCTCCCCCAGCATGCGTCTTGCTTTTGTCTTTTCCCTTTTAACAGCCATTATATTTTAGAGCTGTTTGGGGCTCACAGCAAAGGGGATCTCAAGGTATGCGAGTTTCCATCTATACCCTGCTCCATACCTGTGCCTGTCCCACCATTCATACCAACCCCCCACGCCCAGCACTGCAATGCCCCACTTCTGATAATCCATTCTCAATCCGTTTGCTTGCTTGGCTGGTTCTGTACCACTTGGATCACATCTCCAGTCCAGCTTTTTGCTAGGTAATTGGGGATGAGTATCATTGACTTTTCTGCCCAGGTGGAATTAAAACTTGGAATTTCAAGGTCTCAGCTTCCTGAGTAGCTAGGATTACATGTATGAGCCACCAGTGTTTGTCTGGCAAGTCTTTTTGTCTGATAATCTTTTTATTTTTTATTTTTTTGTTGGTTGTGGGGCTTGAACTCCGGCCTTGGGCGCTGTCCCTGCCCTCAAGGCGAGCTCTCTGCCCTTAAGCCACAGTGCCACTTCCTTGTCTGATAATCTTATATAGCAGGTACTCAGTACTGTAATGTCTTATAGGACAGTCCACCTGCCCCAGGTCCTCTTGTGTACCTGTTTATGAGTCCTCCCTCTCTTCCTTCTTCCTTCTCTCCCTTCTTCCCTCCCTCCCTCTGCAGCCCCTGACCGTACCTTTGCCTTTCCCTGCTCGTTCTTTCTTTCTTTCCTTTCTTTCTTTTTTTCCTTCCTTCCTTCTTTCCTTTCTTGTCCTGGGGCTTGAACTCAGGGCCTGGGTATTGTCCCTTAGCATTTTTATTCACACTAGTGCTCTACCACCTGAGCCATAGCTATACTTTCAGCTTTTTAGTAGTTAATTGGCCATCAGGGTCTTGCAGACTTTCCTGCCTGGGCTGGCTTCAAACCACGATCCTCAGATCTCAGTCTCCTGAGCAGCTAGGATTACAAGGGTGAGCCCAGCCACCTTTGCAGACTCTCACATTGGCTCTTCTGCTTAGCACCGTGTGTGGTCAGGCTTCCTCCCTGACTTTTCTTGGTGTTTGGAATCTAATACCTTCTGTTTTCTGGCTGACTTCATTCACCTGCTCTACTTCACTGCAAGCATCCAGATAAAAGCTGTGTGCAGGTTTTCATCTCCTTTGGGAAAGCACCAAGGAGTGTGTTGCCAGATGGTGTGTAAGGGTCACCCTGGTTTTGTAAGAAGCTACTTACCAGCTCTTGTGCCACTGGCACACAGCATTCAGCCAGCACCAACCCTGGGTTCCTGTTGCTCATATCCAAGCCCTGACAGTCAGGAGCTTGTCACGAGCCTTCTTTCCCACTCTTCGGTTCATCTGGGGACTCATGTTTCCTTCAGCTTTCAACCGCCCCCACCCCCACCAATCCCAGCAGCCCCCACAGCTTCCCTGCCTTCCTTGGCATATTCAAGAGTGTCACTTAAGAGTTTCAGTGAGGAGCTAGGAATGTGGTTTAGCAGTAGAGTAGAGCGCTTGCCTAGCATGCATGAAGCCCTGGGTTCAATTCCTCAGTATCACATAAACAATAAATAAAAGAAAAAATTAAAAAGAGAAAATGATTGAGAAAGAAAACAAAAAGAGTTTCCGTGAGGCTGAGTAGGAAGCCAGTATCCAGAGGATCACAATTCAGCGGCAGTCTGGGGAAGAAAAGTAGCTAGACTGTAGTCTAGAACAACCAGCAAAATACTGGGCTGGAGGCATGGCTCAAGTGGTAGAGTACCAGCTGTGAACAATTAAGCTGGGTGAGCCTGAGACCCTTAGATCAAATTCCAGTACCACCAGAAAAAAATTCTAGAACTTTCTCCTGTTCTGGAGCAGAAACTAACCAACTCCTTATATCTTTCAGGCGCTACACCCCTTTTCCCCATTCTCCTTCCTGTCTCTGTGATGAGACAGGCTGTCCAGGGAGCTCTTATAAGTGCGTTCTACAGTACCTATCCCTTTTTGGCTGACTTATTTCACTCAGTACAGTGCCCTCAAGTCCCATGGGTTGGAGATGTAGCTCTTGTGGTAGACCACCATCCTAGCAAGTGTGAAGCCCTGAGTTCAAACCCCAGCACCCCCATCCCTCCCAAGAAAAGGTTCATCCACACTGTAGCAGTTACTAGAAGTTCCCTTCTTTTTTAGGGCTGAATAGTATTCCTCCACATTTCCAGCCATCCCTTCATTCATCAATAGACACTTGTTTGTTGGGTCCTTTGAATAATGCTGCTGATATTTGTGCATGTGGATGTGTAAATATCCCTTTTACATTCCTGTCTTCAATTCGGTTGAATATGTATCAGAAGTATGATTGCTGGGCGACACTGTGCTCTGTGTTTACCTTTAATTTTAATTTTTATTGTTATTATAAAGGTGATGTACAGAGGGGTTACAGTTACGTAAGTCAGGTAATGAGTACATTTCTTTTTGGACAGTGTCGCCCTTTCCTTCACTCTTTCCCAGTCCCCACCCCCCCCACCCCCCTGCCATCCTGTCCCCACCTACAAGTCATATAGTTAAATTTCCACATAGTGTCTAGTGGGTGCCACTTCTGCATATGTTCACCCTCCGTCTGTGTTTAACTTTTCAAGGCCCCTGTGCACTGCTTTTTCCCGAAGCAGCCCTGGGGATCCACGTCCCTGTATCACTAGGTGGGTTACAAGTGAGGAGTCCAGAGCTGGCTCCCATCACTGCCCGGCTTCCTTTGAGTGCTGGTGGCCAGGACCCTCTGGACAGCCCCTGCCTGATGGCCCTGCCCATCTCACTCCACTCCTGTCCGCTCCCAGGATGGCTCCATTCTGAATTTATCTCCCCCACCACCCGAGGACTCCAGCCAAGACCAGCCAGAGGACAGGAAGGACCTTCCAGGGGGCACCCCGTTTGAGCTGTCCCCCATGCTTATGGAAAGAGACAGGTGGGCAAGCTCAGGCCTACTGTCCATTGGGTATGTGTCGCCCCCTAGTGGGAGTGTGTGGCAGGGCCGCCACCTGTTCAGAACCAGTCGAGGCCTGGACCCAGGCTGGCATGGTGGGTGACCAGTGTGTTCGTGTCTAGTGAATGAGCCAGCCATGCCCCCAAACACATGGACCGAGGCCACTGCCTGCCCTGTGTGTGTCAAGCGTGGCCACACTGGCCACATAGGCTCTGGCAGGACCTGGGATGGCCAAGGTGGCTATGGTCCACTGTAACCTATTGCACCCACAGTGACAGTCACAAATCATCTAAAGCCACGCCACTGAGGATGCTGGGAAAGCAGGACTCTCTGCTGCCCCCGCCGGCCCTCCGCATCCTGCTGACTCCACCAGTGCTAGAGGTTGGTGTGCTGGGCTGGGAACCAGGACTGGGCGGAGGGTCCCCTCCCCCACCAGGCTGCGCTGGGCCCAGCGCCCCCATCCAACGTGCTTGTGGGAGATGACCTGGATCCCTGTGGTCCTGAGCTCTGCAGAGCACGCACTGCTGATGGGCGCATGGATGCAGACTTCACGGCCCAGTTCTGAGACTGAAGGTTCAAGTCCCACATATGACACAGATGGGCTCTCCCAACCCCTTGGAGGCTCTGGAAGGTTCCTGTCTGCCTTTCCCATAGTCTGGGCTCCAGGCATCTCTTAGACTGTGGTACACTGCTCCATCTCTGATTCCATGTCTTTCTTTTCCTTCCATCCTTCCTCTCTCCTTCCTTTCCTCCCTCTCCTCCTTCTCCTCCTCTTCCTCTTTCTCTTTTTCTTTCTTTGTTCTGAGACAGAATCTCACTGTATCACTCAAGTTGCTCTAGAACTTTACATCTTCTTCCCTCTACCTCCTGTGCTTCCCATGTCCAGCTCTCTCCTTTCTTTAAGAGACACCAGGCCTAAATAAGGATGATCTTATCCTTAGCTAGTGGCATCTGCCAAGACTCTTTTTGTTGGGCGGGGCGGGGGGAGGGGGGGACTGTGGGGCCTGAATTCTGGGCCTGGGCGCTGTCCCTCTGTGCTCAAGGCTAGCACTCTACCACTTAAGCCACAGAGCCACTTCCAGCTTTTTCTGTTATGTGGTGCTGAGGAATCCAGCCCAAGGTCTCATGCATGCAAGGCCAGTACTCTACCAGAGCCACCTTCCCAACCCCCAAGACTCTTTTGATGTGTTTTGTGTGCTGCTTTCTACAGACTCCGGGCCCCCTGAGCATGAAGAGCCTGGTCTCCAGGCTGCACCCCACCGCCAGCCTGGACCTGAGCCCTGCACGGCCGCTGAGCGCCCAGGCCCTTCAGGAGATGGCCCTGGGGACTAAGACCATCGCCCTCATTGCAGCCAGCCGGCGCTGCAAAGCCCAGGATGGGGATGGCAGCGGCAGCCGCTCCTCCCGCCCCCGGCCAGAGGAGGCAGCCCTGGACCCCAGGGACCTGAAGCCCCACGCCACATCGGACAGTTGTCCTGCAGACAGGAGGTGGCCCCAGGCCAGCCCGATCATGGACCGTTCCACAGACAGGAAGGCTGGGAGGAAGCGGTCACCCTCCCTCACCTGGCCCACACAGCTGGTGGGTGACCCAGTGGATGGCCACATTGGGTGTGGGAGGATAGCTGGAGGAAGAGGATGGGAGGGGTCAGCATTTGCTCTATACCTGGGTGGACACAGGAGGCAAACTGGCTATACCACATGGATCTCTGGCCGCAGCTCAAGCTCTGTGTGTTTGAATCCCAGCAGTTACAGTTCTGTTATCTCAAAGTTTTCACAAGCCTACTTAACATTTTATTTTCGGTGCTGAAGATCAAGCCCAGAGCCTTGCCCATGTGAGCCAATCACTCTGCCTCGGAGCCCCAGTATTTGTATTTTGAGGGATAGTGGGATTTGAACTCAGGCCCTGAGCTTGCTAGGCTGTTGCAACATCACTGAGTTACGCCCCAATCCCGATTTTCACTGGTTATTTTTAGGACAGGGTCTCACTTCCCACTTCTGCACCTACATGAGCCCTGATCTGCCTACTTTAAACTTTCCATCTTTGCTGGGATGATGGGCATGCATTACAGCACCCAGCTTCCCACTGTGGAGATGGGGGTCTCACAGACTTTTCTGCCCAGGCTGGAAGAGATTCTCCTGATCTCCATCTCCCACGTAGCTAGGATTACAGGAGTGAGCCACTGGCACGGAGCAGTATATGTACTTTAATTTAAGAAAAAGATTATAAAGTACATAGATCAAGTGCTTCCTGTCTGTGCCTCCAGTGTGTGGTGCCAGACCTGGCCCACGTAGTGCTTGGTGCCACAGGTGAGTTCAACTCTAGGGCTACCATGTGTACTTTTGCTCGGTACTGGGGCTTGAACTCAGTGCCTCAAGCTCTTTCTCAAAGATGGTGCTCTACCACTTAAACCACCACACCTCTAGCTCTTTTTGCTTTCATGAATTTTTCAGATAGGCTCTGTACTCAGATCTGGATCCTCCTACCTCCATTTCCTAAGTAGTCCCAGAATGGCTTTGAACATGATCCTCAGATCTCATCCTCCTGAGTAGCTGGGATTACAGGTGTGAGCCACCAGTTCCTGGCTTTATTCTTAACTATTACTGACACTGCTTCATGGGCATGTATGAATAGTGTTTTCTCTCTCTCTCTCTCTCTCTCTCTCTCCCTTTTATTTTTGCCAGTCCTAGGGCTTGAACTCAGGGCCTGGCCACTGTCTCTGAGCTTCTTTTTCTCAAAGCTAGCACTCTAACACTTGAGCCACAGTGCCACTTCTTGCTTTTTCTGTTTATGTAGTACTGAGGAATCAGACCCAGGGCTTTGTACATGCTAGGCAAGCACTCTACCACTAAGCCACATTCCCAGCCTTCCTCTTGTTTTTGTTTGTCAGTCAAAGGGCTTGAAATCTGGGTCTGGGCTCAAGGCTAGCACTCTACCACTTGAACCACAGTGCCACTTCTGGTTTTCTGGTGGTTAATTGGAAATAAGAGTCTATGGACGTTCGTTTCTGCCTGGGCTGGCTTTGAACCGTGATCCTCAGATCTCAGCCTCTTAAGTAGGTAGGATTACAGGTGTGAGCTACTGGCACCTGGAAATCGTGAGTTCCAGACCAGCCTGGGCTACATAGAGAAACTTTTTTCAAAAAACAATGTGTTTTTGTATCTATGAATATATATACATATACATATATACATATACATATATATATATATGTATATGTTGTGTTCCCTTTCCCCACAGGTGTCAGAGAAACTCCAGGCCCCCTCTGGGGAGCATGTGGCTGAGAGCCAGCTGTCCCCAGCCCACCTGCAGCCATCCAAATCACCAGGGAAGAGCTTCTTCCCTGCCGTCCCCTCGGCCTCCAAGATGAAACCCAGCCTCAGCTCACACACAGGTGCATGATAAGAAGAAAGAAAGGGTCTGAATGTAAATTTCTTTTTTTCTTTTTGTTCTTTTTTTTTTTTGGCCGGTCATGGGGCCTGAACTCTGGGCCTGGGCGCTGTCCCTTAGCTCTTCAGCTCAAGGCTAGCGCTCTACCACTTGAGCCACAGCGCCACTTCCAGCTTTTTCTGCTTATGTGGTGCTGAGGAATCGAACCCAGGGCCTCATGCATGCAAGGCAAGCGCTCTGCCACCAAATCACCTTCCCAGCCCCTGAATGCAAATTTCTAAACTGAAACCTTGAGGGTGACACTCTGGATTGTTGCCAGCAGTCCACCTTGCTGTGTGTTTCGGTGCTGTTGTTTGTTTTGTGTGGCCATTGAGATGGTTTTTATTTGGGGGAGGAGGAGGTTGGAGACAATATAGGGTTTGAACTCTGGTCCTCACATTTGCTAGTCAGGCACTCAACCACTGAACCAAGCCCCCAGCCCTGATTTTTGCTGGCTATTCTTTCATCCCACAGCACCCCACAACAAGCTTCTCCATGCATCAGGTATGAACGTATCACACGATGTTCACGATGTTTCTATCCTGTGTCTGATCTCACTGTGCAGATGAGAACACACTGCAGGTGCCCGAGGTCAGCTTCACCTTTCCCAGCGCCATGTGGCAGGGCAGCACGGTCCCCAGCAGGCAGCCCCTGCTGCCTCGAGAAATCCGAGGTCAGTGGAGGCCCCCTCCACCCCCCTGCCAGGGTCCTGAAGGTCTGTGTTGTGCTGTACAGAGGAGAAGAGAAGGCAGAGCCCCCCACCCCACACCAGGGCCCCCTCTCAGCAGCCCAGTCATGTGGTTCATCCCATTTCCTCCATCAGAAGATGGACACCTCACACAACACAGGGATGCCATGGTCACTCAGCAGTGAGAGCATATCCAGGATTTGCACTTGGGCTGTTGCTCTCCACTGCCCTTCAAATGTTTTGTCTGGTCCCAGGGTGCCCCTGGCCAGGCTAGAGGCAGGCTGAGAAGGTCAGGATTGAGCTGAAAAGGGGCAGGATGTGGGCCAGGGGTCGTGGCTCGGGCTTGTCATCCTAGAGATTGGGGAGGCAAAGATTGGGAGGATTGTAGTCTGAGGCCAGCTCAGGCAAAAGAAATTGGTGAAGCCCCATCTCAACAAACAAGCCAGGAAAGGTGGTTCATGTCTATAATGCCAGCAGAAGTGGTCTGTAGGTATTGTAGACAAAAATGTGAGATTCTATCTGAAAAAACAAAGTACTCTCTATGCACTATATATATGCACTATATATATATATATATATATACTATAGTATATATACAATATGTATTATATATACAATATATAGTTTATATATTATATATATTTATATATACAATATGTATGTGTGTGTGTATATATATATATATATGTATATATATGTATATATATATATATATATATATATATACATACACATACACATACAATATAGAACATACATATTTGCAGCACTGGGTTTTGAACTCAAGGCCTCACACTTGGCAAGTAGATGCTCCACCATATGAACCACTCCACCAGACATTTGGGCTTTTGCTTTTCTCTTTTGTTGTTGGTTGTGGGGCTTGAACTCTAGGCCTGGGTGCTGTCCCTCAGCTTTTCAGCTCAAGGTGAGCGCTCTACCACTTGAGCCACAGCACCACTTACTGTTTTCTGGTGGTGAATTGGAGATAAGAGTCTCATAGACTTCCCTTCCTGGGCTGCCTTTAACTGCAATCCTCAGATCTCAGCTTTATGAGCAGCTAGGCTGACAGGCATGAGCCACCGACACTCAGCTAGCTTTTGGTATTTTTTTATTTTTTGGTGCTGGTTGTGGGTCTTGAACTGAGGCCAGGGCTCTGTCCTTCTACTTTTTGTGCTCCAGGTTATCTCTATAGCTCTTTGAGCCACAACTCCATTTCTGGTTTTCTGGTAGTTAATTGCATATAAGAGTCTCACAGACTTTCCTGCCTGGACTGGCTTTGAATCTCAAACCTTAATCCTCAGATCTCAACCTCCTGAGTAGTTAGGATATAGGCAGGAGCCACCAGCACCAGGCCCAACTTTCTGAAGCTGATAATGCCCAGGCCCAGGCTCAGTTACATGGGCTTCATTGGGGGAAGGCCACAGAGAGAGGAATGGTGTCATCACAAGGGACCCTCTACCCCCAGGGGGGTCCAGGCCCTGTGGGGGTCAGATTGCATGTTGTGGATGCCCATCTAGGTCCCCCTACATGGACCCAGGTTTTCCTGGGCCACAGACAGATCTTCCTGTCCATCCCAGGGTCCACCGACAGTGGAGGCCGACGCCACAGCCCTCTGCCCCCCAGCACCCCCCACCGGCTTCAGAGCAGCAGTGCCAAGAGACATCGACGACCCAGATAGAAGATGGAGGTGGACAGCTGCCAGCCCCAGGCTGCCCTTCCAGCAGCTGGCATCGTTGCACCTTCCCTGGAGGGCCAGGGTGCTAGCCACAAGCAAAGGATACTGCAACTCTGCCTTCCGGCTCAGGCCAGGCTGCAGAGGCTCCTAGGAATGGCTGGGCAGCTGCTGGCTGGAGTAGGACTGTGTCCCTCCTTATAAACTATGTCCAGCTTGCAACACAGCTCTGCCTCACGCAGGTACACACACAACTCAGGGGTCCGATGCCATGCAAGACAGGACTGTTTCCTGAGCTTTGACTTGGCTCTTTGGATTAAGACTGGTGTCTGCCACTTGAGCTAGACCTGTCCACTTGCCTGCCTCCTCTCCCCCTCCCCCCTTTTTTTGTTGTTGGTCCTGGGGCTTGAACTCAGGGCCTGTGTGCTGTCCCTGAGCTCTTTCACTCAGGGCGAGTGCTCTATGACTTTGAACCACAGCACCACTTGCAGTTTTCTGGTGGTTCATTGGAGATAAGAGTCTCACAGACGGGCTGGGAAGGTGGCTCAGTGGTAGAGCGCTTGCCTTGCATGCCTGAGGCCCTGGGTTCGATTCCTCAGCACCACATAAGAAAAAAGCCGGAAGTGGCGCTGTGGCTCAAGTGGTAGAGCGCTAGCCTTGAGCTGAAGAGCTGAGGGACAGCGTCCAGGCCCAGAGTTCAGGCCCCACGACCGGACCAAAAAAAAAGAGTCTCACAGACTTTCCTGCCAGGGCTGGCTTTGAACTGTGATTCTCAGATCTCAGCCTCTTGAGTAGCTAGGATTACACTAGTCCCTGGCTAGTTTTGAACAGAGATCCTCAGATCTCAGCCTCTTGTGGAGATAGTATTATAGCTGTACCCTGCTGCTTGTGGGTTACAGTAATTAAAAAAAAAAGCACTGTGCATGGTAGAACACACCTGTAATCCCAGCTACTCAGTAGTCAAAGGTAGGGGGAATCATCTTAGCCTGGGAAAAAGCACAAGACTTTATCTGTAAAAACAAATTAAAAACAAAAGAGCTGGGGACATAGTTCAAGCAGTAGAGGTCCTGGCTAGCAAATGTGAGGCCCCAAGTTTGATGCCCAGTACCACCAAAACAAACACAGGGACAATGGAATGGGACCGCCTCAGAGCCATGCCTCCCTTCTGAGTCCTCTCAGGAAACCTGGGAGACCCCATCTGTCTCCAAGGACATTGCCCTTCTGGTGGCACCTTGGTGAGTACCATTGATGCCTCTGCCAAGATGAGACCCACGCCTGGAGCTGGTGTTATGGCAGCCTTCCACTTAACTACCTGGCCCAGACCTCTGAACTGCAGCCTGCCTGGGCCTCAAGTCCCTCAGGCTGCAAACCCTAACATGATATTAAGAATTCTGTAGGCCAGGTGCCGGTGGCTCACACCTATAATCCTAGCTACTTGGGAGGCTGAGATCTGAGGATCATGGTGCAGAGCCAGTCCAGGCAGGAAAGTCCATGAGACTCTTATCTCCAATTAACCACCAGAAAACCGGAAGTGGTGCTATGGTTCAAAATGGTAGAGCGCTAACCTTGAGCTGAAGAGCTGAGGGACAGCACCCACGCCCAGAGTTCAAGCCCCATGACCACAACAACAACAACAAAAAAAGAACTCTGCAGGCTGGGTGTCAAGGGCTACTCAGAAGGCTGAGATCTGAGGATGGCTATTCAAAGCCAGCCAGAGTAGCAAAGTCATGAGAACTCATCCCTACTTAAGCACCAAAAAGCCATCAGTGGAGTTACAGATCAGTTGGTAGAGCATCAGTCTTGACAAATTTTTTAAAAAGCTAAGGGACAGCACCCAGGCCTTGAATTCAAGCCCCAGGACCAGCATACACACGTGCGCACACACACACACACACACACACACACACACACACACACACACACACACACACACGTCATTTGGAATCTGGTATAGGTACTGCACACAGGCCAGCAACACAAGCTGGCCACACGCTTAGGTTTTTCCTTCTCTGAATTTTATTCATTCTATATACAACCACACCTCCATCTTCAGCATTTTGCTGATTGATTAGATCAAGAGTCTTTTGGATTTTTTTTCTGTCTCAACTGGTTTAGAACTCAGATCTCAGCCACCTGAACAATTCACAGGTGTGAGCCACTAAAAGAATTGGGCTTTTTTTTTTTTTTTTTGTCAATCCTGGGCCTTGAACTCAGGGCCTGGGTGCTGTCCCTGAGCCTCTTTGTGCTGAAGGCTAGTGCTCTACCACTTAGCCACAGTGCCTCTTCTGGCTTTTTGTGAGTAGTTTATTAAGAATTTCACAAACTTTTCTGCCTAGGCTGGCTTTGAAGTTTGATCCTCAGATTTTAGCCTTCTGAGTAGCTAGGATGACAGTCATGAGCCACCAGTGCCCACATCCTTTTTTTTTTTTTTTGGTCAGTCGTGGGGCTTGAACTCTGGGCCTGGGTGCTGTCCCTGAGCCACTGACATCCAGCTGACTTTTGTTTTTTGGGTTTTTTATTATTTATTTATTTGTTTTTGGTGCTGGTTTTGGGTCTTTTTTTGGGGGGGGTCTGGTCATAGGGCCTGAACTCTGGGTCTGGGCATTATCCCTCAGCTCTTCAGCTCAAGGCTAGCGCTCTACCACTTGAGCCACAGCGCCACTTGCGGCTTTTTCTGCATATGTGGTGCTGAGGAATCGAACCCAGGGCCTCAGGCATGCAAGGCAAGCGCTCTACCACTGAGCCACCTTCCCAGCCCCATGGTTTTGGGTCTTGAATTCAGGGCCTGGACACTGTCCTTATACTTTTTGTGCTCAAGGTTATCTCTATAGCTCTTTGAGCCACAGTTCCATTTCTGGTTTTCTGGTAGTAAATTGCATATAAGAGTCTCACAGACTTTCCTGCCTGGGCTGGCTTTGAACCTCGAACCTCAATCTTCAGATCTCAACCTCCTGAGTAGTTAGGATTACAGGTATGAGCCACCAGCGCCCCACTTGAGATCCTTTTGCCTCAGTCTCTGAGGTGCTGGGATTACAGTCATGCGCTACCACACCCAGTAGCACGTGAGTGTCAGGGTTGGCTGAGGAATCCAGTTTTGCCGTTGGCCTGGGGAGACAGAGGCTGAAAATAGGCACATAGTGGCCTGACATGTGGTACAATTGCACCATAGCACGCCAGTGCAGCTGGGTTTGTTATGTGGTGGAGGACATGGAATTGGTTCCCTTTTCTAAGTACAAAGAGACTTGTCATGTTTGACAACAGTTGCTTTCTACTATTCCTTTATTTATTATTTTTAATGTTTCTGGAAACCGTTTGTGGTTTCAAGCAGATTTTCAAATGGGTCTGCCAGACCCAAGTGGGAAATGTTGCTCATGGGTTTTCTGGTGTACTTGGGGCTAAGACTGAATGAAAAGTTACAAACTTCTGTGGGTGTGGTTGGGACACTTCTGTACAGTTGAAGTGGTTGGGTGATGGAGACAGGAAGATCTGAGTGTGCAGATCCTGGAGGACCAAGGAGACATTTTTTGAGTTGTCTGGAATAGACACACGCATTCAACTTTTACAATTGCTCCGGTTCCTCCTTGGGCTGCAATAAGGGTACCCTTGTTTTGTTGTTGTTGTTGTTGTTGCCAGTCCTGGGGCTTGAACTCTGGGCCTAGGCACTATACTTGGACTCCTTTTTGCTCAAGGCTAGCACTCTACCACATGATCCACAGTGCGACTTCTGGCTTTTCCTGTGATTAATCAGAGATGACAATACAATCTCACAGATTTTCCTGCCTAGGATGGCTTTGAACCATAATCCTCAGATCTCAGTCTCCTAAGTAACTAGGATTACAGGCATGAGCCACTGGCACCCAGCTCAGCCATCCTGTTTTGAAGGACAGCTTATCTCAGCATTTTTACCTCTGGATTTAACAAAGAGACCTCTTGGGCAGTGTCACTGAAAGCTTGCTGGATGCACTTGTTGAAGGATTCCATGTCCCATGACATCCTCTAGGCCAGAAGAGGGAATGGAGACAGAGGCCAGGTGATCATACCAATGGAAAACACACATAGTCCACCTAGGTCATAATGCTGGCATATCTGCAGGCTTTGTTCAAGTTGGGACCCATCTCCCCTGCATCCAGGGGAAATCTATAGTGCAGGGGAAGCCAGGGCCAGAGGTTGGTCCCACAAAGCCATTTGGTGCCATTTGGAGCTGCATAGATTTTGTTTTAGGGGCCAGTTGATAGCATACCAGTCAGTGGGCTTGAGTGTTTACAATTAGTCAGTGGAGTCCAACCCAGCTTTTTAATGCTATTTTTTCCATTTACCATAAGTATGATTTTTCTGTTCCCAGCAGAAGGGAGCCTTTTGGCTCAGTTGCCTGATAGTAGGGTTTAGCCAGAAATAGTTAGCCCAAATCTGGTAATATCCTTTCAAGTGTCAGTGACTGGTGTCCCTAATGTTGGGAATTTGGGAGGATGTCTAAATTCTATACTTGATCATCAGTTGCAGAGTGAATAAAATGTATTGTGTCCTGGCTGATGAACAGTCTGAATGATAGGCCATTTTGAAATATAATTAGTAGCACTAGTTCCATATGTTGTGGCTTAGGGTATTAGTTGGGAGTTCTGTCTAGTCAGCACCCTGTGGGGGGGTCCCTACCAGGGTAGCCCAGATGTTCTGGAAATGGGCAGCAGCCCACAAATCCAACAACTGCTTTTATTAACCTCCCTTGCATAACAACAGGCCCATTGCAAACGTGAGTTCATTTCCACTTTAGCTCAGGAAATAATAATCAGAAAAAGTAAAGCAAAGATACAGCCTAAGATTAAGGTGGGGTTTTAGCATTTGTGGTTAGACTGGAGAGTGTGATGTATAATTGAGCAACACAGTTTTTATAAACATTTAAAGGAATGCTAATTAAAATTTGAAACTTTACCAAACCGTCCAGTCAGTCTGGTTAAGCCTCTTTTTTCTTTCTGAAGAGGAATCTCCAGTCTTCTAGACGTTCACAGATA